GACTAAAAGTAGCTCAGCGTGGAATTTCTCTCTTGACCACTTGGATCTGAATTTCAAGCACAAGCCACTCCCATCTATTTCTGTTTGCCTGCATGGCTCCTCTGCCCCAATATCCACCAGGCCCTGGAATTTTTCCCTTGCAGAGTAAAGAGTTGGCATTTGGGAAGAAAATATCTCATTTGCCTGCACCAGAAAGCAGAGTTTGAGGTGTGTTAAAAGACTGTTCAGTCTGTCAGTCCACCCAGGATCATTGGAGGCAAGAGCTATACCACACAGGGCAGTCTTTTCAATACCTTAATGATCTGGCTGAGCAGCAGAAAGGAGGACAGAGCAAATGCTGGGATGAGCTGTGGTGGGCAGGGGAAGGAAAGACTGAGCTTTCTACCCCTGCCCAGATCGAGCACTTTGAAGGTGTACAGCAACTCCCCACTATCAGTCCGCTGTAAACCCTGGAGCTGTTTCTACCTCTGTCAGCATCTCCTGGGTTGTCTGCTCTCTCACATGCAGATGGCTTCCTCAGCTCAGTACTAGAATATCTCCAGGCACAGCTCTACCTTATGGCGAGCCAGGTCAAGCCTTGTAGGGTCTCTGCAGGCACTCATGTACCACCCACCAGCTTGGACACCATTTCACTTTCTCTACCTCCCTGTAGGGATGGAGAGAGGACAGCACAGAGAAGAGCTCCCTACTGCTGGGTTACTGGCCCTTCCACCTCATGGTGCAGCTGATGCCTGGAGTCAAGCTTCTACCCTGCTGCTTTTCCTTAAGAAAATCACACAGCTGGAGCCCACCTCCTGGAATTCCTTGGGGCAGCAGGCAAAAAAAAGCTGCGGAGGAGCATACCCACGACAAACAAGGGTGAGAGGCTGGGGGCAGTGCACAAGGCTGCCCCGCTCTGCCTGGGCAGCTGCATAGCGGGAAGGACTTGCTTCCACAAGCAGGTACTTACGCGGGAGTCCCACACAGGGTGAGGTGTGCCCGTGCCAGGAGTGCCCTCACTTCATATACTCCCCTTCGCTTACATAGTCCATAAAAGACCCCGGCAACTCAGCAAAATCTTCCAAGACAAGACTGGTGGAGTCCTCACCCAGCAGGTCACTGTCGGGCCGGGATGCCCGGGGTCGTAGAGCTGGTGGCGGTGGTGGTGGTGGCTGTGGAGGGGGCTCAGAGGCACCAGCCTGGTCAGAGGGAGGTAGTGGCTCCTCACAGTCTTCCGGATCCCCCTCGGAGGATGGCCCAAGGACATGGTAGAGGCTGGGCAAGCGGATGTCGAAGCGAAGGCCAAACTTGGCGAAGAGCTTCTCGTTGAGGGAGTAGAGCTTCTCCGAGATGTCATAGCCCAGGTGGGAGGAGAAGAGCCGGGCAATGTAGCGGTCCTTCCTCAGGAGAAGATACAGCTTCTTCCTTGGCCAGGTGATGAAGATGCAGTCAGTCTCAGCTGTCAGTGTGACCTGTAGGGCAGGGAGGAAGCAGAGTAAGCCCTACCACCCGGGTTCTCTCCAGTGATGGATCCCAGCCCCTTTGACATGTGCTCTCCTTGGAAATGGCAGGGCTGGACAGCCAGACTGCCCAAACCAAACAATCAGACAAATCTTTACTCGCCTCTGCTTCCTTTCCCCAAGGAGCCAGAGACCAGGTTTTCCTATCAATTAGCAGCATACTCTTGCTTAATCTAGCCACATGACTAGCTACATTTCACCCTCTCACTTTCAGAAAATGCTCCCTGTTGACACCTGAGTGATGCAGCTGAAATGAGCGAGGTGGCACACATGGTCTTATCCCTCTACAGAAATGTTATGGAGGGAAGTGTTTCTGTGTGCCCAGCTGGCCCAAGTCACCAGTGGGTAGCCCTGCAGCAGGCTGCCACCCTGTCCTGCCACCGGGTCACACACCCCCTGTTCCAAAAAGGCCCTAGGTATGGGAAGGGCCACCTGGAAGGCTTGCCTGGTCACCCTGTGCCAGAGGGACATCCTGTCTTGCCAGCTCTGCCAGGCGCTGTAGGACTGAATGGCCTTGAAGGATGCACAGCACAGCTCAGCTAGAGAGGAAATAAAAAGAGTTTACTGTATTTGTATGTAGGTAGGGAACTCACTCAAGGTTTTATTGGATTGGTTTTAGAGAACATTTCATTTTCCTTTGGGTTTTGCCAGTGCAAACAGAGCCACTTTTCCCCTTAGTTGTAAGACTAGACTATTAATAATAATAAAAAAATACAATACATTAGTATATACTATATTATATAAATCTAATAATAATGACAATAAAAGGTAAGGAACATAGAAAGGGTCAAACTACCTTGGGCCAAAGAAGAACATCCGAGTGTAACGGAGACACTGGCATGTGAACAAGTGTCAGGGCCAAAATATCCCGGGGGCTCCCTTTCACTCTATATCCAGGGGTCTCCTTGGCCAGCCACCATGGCAGAAGGCCACTGGGAAGCTGAACACGGCTTGGCTGCATGTGTGTGTCCTTGGGTTTGATATTTAATGCCACTGCCATGCAAGCAGCTGCCTTATGAAAGAAATATAGGAGATAAAATCTAAGAACTTTTCCAGGCTTAGGTGAGCAAGAGGAAGGGTCACATGGAAACTGAAATTACCAGAAACTCATTTTCCTAACCAATTTCTGGCACAGCAATCAAAAGCCTCCAATTCATGTGAGGGATTAAGTGAGATGTAATAAGAAAACCTGCCTCCTATTCAGAGCAGCAGGACAGATTTCAGTCATGAATCCTCCTGACACAAGAGCTCCGTCATCAGCAGAGCCCATAAATCAGCTTTCTGGGGGAAAGTGCCAGCCCTGAAACCCAACTCCTTCAGGCACTGGGAGCCAGTGGTCCTGTGGGAAGAAGACACAGTCAAAGAAGAAAGCTCAAGGAAACTGGCTCTCCTTGTAGACTGAGTTGTGATTTTGCCATTTTTCAGAGGGTTCAGGACTGAAATTGCTCAATCCAGAGAGCCATGGGGAAAACATGGGCAAGAAAAGCCTTTCATGTGCTCCTCCAGCAAAGTCCCAGAGTCAACATGCACTTTTTAAAGCAAATAACTGTAATGCTAGGAATAAGATTGAGATATGCCATAGAGTCTTATTAACTACTCAAGTAAGAGGGGCCAGTGGGTTAGACAGTTGCCAAAAGCAGCACAACATCATGCCTAAGCAAGGCCATCAAGAGTGATGTCCTGTCAGGAACATGGACTGGTCAAGTCTCAGCTGCTGAATGCTGGTCTTGCACAGGCTGCTGCTTCTTCGTGCTCTTCAGTGAGCAGACACGAGGTTTAGGCATTTCCAGCACCTGGCTTTAGCTCTTCCCCACCCAGGACACTATCTCCCCATCCCGGTGCCAGGCGCCACTGATCTCCTTGACCAGCCGTATCTTGCAGAACAGCAGAGATACCAATAGCATGGTGTTGGCAGGCACCAGGTGCAGCCTGGCACTAGTTTGCTGCTGAGCTGCCTCACACACCACAGATAAAGCCACTCAGGAGGCCAGGGAACCTACAGTTCCACAGAAATTAGCTCAGAAAACACTGCAGATGTCGTTGCAGGTTGCATGCCATCCAGATGGCCATTTTCCTGCTAGGAGCACCAGACAGCCATCATTCTCTCTACTCAACTCTTAGGCAAATACAATCCAGGAGCTAGCAGCAAACTGCTGCCGGGTTGAAGCCCTGTGCAAAACATTAAATACTCCCAGCTTTTGTATAGCCATGCTGCTGTTTCCCTCATCTACTCCATTATCCCTATTTCTGCTCACAAGCTGTAACCCTGTGTCATGGTCACACATTCAGACACCTCCTGCAACTGTTCCTCTTGCAAGATCATAATCACTCACCATGGCATGGCTTTCAGGAGTGACCACCATGACCCCTTCACACAGTACGTGGGCCAAATTCAGACCTGAGGAAAGCAGATTCAGAGACCTACCCCGGTTCCACCAAGTCTGAATGTGGCTGCCCTCATGAGAAAGCATCGTCATTACCTCATGACTGTCCCACGCTCCCAAGGGATTAGCAAAATCCCTCCTCATATGCCCTAACTGACATATTCTAGATTGACATTCTGACAGGGATCAGCCTGTCCTGGGATGTGAGTTAAAGGCAGAGAGATGTGAGCTTAAGTAATCTCCTCCAGAAGGAAAGCCACACAAATACTGTGAGGTGTTGACAGCAAGAGCAAAATCCTTTCAGTTGCTGCAAATAAGAATTGGCCTGGCCTCTCAGCAAGGGATTCTTTTGCTCAGAAAGAACCATATTCGGGTGTGAATCATCCTTTCTGCTTCTCTACCCCAAACACATCACCATCAGAAACTTCTGTGAGGAACGGGATATTTATGGATTTACATCACTGCCACACATCGCCATGGCTGCCATCCTGATGCTGGAACGATGAACCCTGCTAGGAGCATGCAGGGCAAATGTATCAGTACAGGTACTACTGTAATGAAAGTGAGCCAGCAATCCGATACCTGTCTCCCTGCTAAACTGGAAGGGGTACCACGTTCCACCCTCCCTGTTGTCAGCTGATAGTAGGAGCAAGCAGTGAGATCTTCTCAGGAAGGGAGGAAAAAAGATGACATAGCTGACTGCCCCATCCTGTGCTGGCTAAACCACAAGGAAGGGGAGGAAAGTATTCCCAATTAGCTTGGAATGTCGTAATGAGCCTCCTCTGTCCCCTTCTCAGACACACAATGAAGCGGCATGGACCGAGGCTGGGTTGCTGTGGGGTCATGCGGGGTTACCTGGAAAGTTCCTTCCTCAGAGGGTCGCAGCGACTCCCATTCTGGAGAGTCCAGGAATTGGTACGGAAAGATGTAGTGAAGGAATTGTCCGTCCTGGCTCACTCGGACCCTGCAGAGAGGACAGGTGAGGCATACAGGCTTAGGCCACAAAACAGGCGTCACACGAACCTGATCAGCTCACACAACATGCAGGCAGCTGGTTCCAGCAGGGAAGAAAGGACTTCTCCTCATCTCACACATGTCTCATATGCTCTCTGGGACAGCTGCAAAAGCTCCAGTCTGTGATGCTGTCCCGTGAGGGAAATGGTAATCACTGCCACTTCCCCATATTTCATGTTTTCTGTTTCTTGCTACAATGCCAGCCCTCATGGGTGCAATGCTTGGTCCTGAACCAGGACTTCTCAGCCCACAAGACTGCTGCTGCTTTTCAGGTACTTCTAAGCCAACCTGTGGCTCTTTGTACTTGCATGTACTCTTCCTGTCCTCAGAGTTGCACAAGGGCATTCCCCACCTCAGTGCTGGAAAGCTGCTACACCCAGAACTCTCCAAAAATCATGCTGGCCATCATTCCTGACACTGGGGCCTCATAGTTTGCTGCACATTACTATTCAATCTCTCTTGGCTTCTTTGCCTGCAAAGTATTACTTTCCCCTACTCTTGCTACAACTGCCTACCAATGTCAAGGTCAAACTTGCACACAGGTCTGCTGTGGGAACAGAGAAGGAGAGCTGCACAGGCCTGGGGCAATGGCAGGGCACTCTGAAGCTCTGTTCGGAGCTCTGCACCACCAGATCTGAGGCCTCTTGCCTCCCTGTCATCATGTTTCCCCATTGTACAATGGACAAAGGCAATTGTAGCTTTCAGGAGTTAGAAGTCTCAGTTCACTGTTAACTTGAAGTCAGCTGGGAGTGCTGCCTGGAAGGGTCTGGGATCACAAGGCAGGTTTCCTGATCCAGACACATTCTGTATTTCCAAGCCCTCCTTGTCCTGCTATTGTTCCATTTAATGGGGAAGGGGGGGGGAGCACCATAACAGTAGCAATGCTCTGCTGGGTCAGCAAGGACCTCACAAGGCAATAGAGTGGGTATCAGGAAACACAAATCCAATCCCATCTCTCCTGTACCAGCCAAGAAGCATACTTCCCACTGCAAAAGAGAGCAGAACAACTACCCCACCAGCACAGGCTTACTGTCTGTTGCAGCAATTTCATGCCCAAAGAGCAGCATCAGATTATCCAGTGCAGGGCAAGACACCACAGACTCTCCCCCACTAACATTATTTGCAGATATGGTAAACTTCAGAGCAAACTGCTTCACACAGACATTTGGTAAGGGGAAAGATACCTAATGGAAACGTGTGTACCAAATTTCCTCCCCAGTGCTTTGCCATTCAGCACTGGTCAGTGGTCTCAGGATGCTCTTAACACATTCTAGAAAAGGGATAAACACAAAAAGGAAGGGCAGCCCTTCTTCTTCACACACTCCCTCACCAGAGAGGATGCACCACCATAGTAGAGCATGAGCTCCAGATGATGCTGTGTTTGTCTTCCTGAAGGAAAATCCTTGAGACACCCCTCTTACAGCTCAGCACTGCTCCCATTTACAGATCTCCTTCTTTTCCCACTCTCACTTGACATTAGTGCCAAGCGCCTAGCAGCAGCTGGGAAGCCAGTATCGTTATTGTTTGCCTTGCGTTTGGATTTTGCAGATCGTTAAAAGATATGTTCATAGAGGCATGCCACAGGATCTCGGGTGAACAAAATGCCAGTACTTCATCAGCACAGTTCACTCAATAGTAAACAAATAGCAAAAGTGCATGGCTTGCCAGGCAATCAGCTGTGACTGTCTAAAGGTCCCTGAGGTCCTTCTTGGTTGTCCATAGGAAGGAACATCATGAATGCATGGCAGCACAGGGACAAAAGAGGCCTGATAAGGGAAGATCCACCACAGGAGAGCTCTCTCTCTTTTTTTGACAAAATGACGCTCGAAGTGAAAAATTTCAGAGCCTTGAGGGCTGAGGTGTTGGGAACAGGGGTGGAACCTCTCCCTGAACTCTGCTGGCCAGGGGGTGAACCAAGGACTCGGTGTACTCGGTGCATGGCCAATTCAAATCACAGAGGTACATCTGGTACCCCCAGAGACCACAGGTCCAGACACACTGTCTTCCTGCCTTGAGAAACATTCTCTCTTGGCTGGTCTGCTCCTGTCAGAAATAAGATCTCTTTAAAATAACAGAGTTAAGGATCCCCCAGTGGTAACACAGGGAAGGCGGAGCTGGCATCTTCACTGCACATAGCTTGATTCTGCAAATTGTTCCCTGAAATATTCTGACTTAGAAAAACAAAACAAAAACAAGCCCAAAAAGCAAATTACCCCACCTCTGCAACAAACATGCATATCTCAAAGTCCTTTCAGAAGAAGGAAACAATCATCGCCCCAGTTTCTACAGAGGGTGAAAATACAACAATAAGCCACAGAACTTTGCTGTCAGACTTTGTTCAGAAACAGGAGAGCCTTTACCTGCCAGACAGCAGCAACGAGAGGCGGTCAATGGGCGTCTTGCCCTCAACCGCGTAGTTCTGGTCTCTGACTAGCGACTGGACTTGCTCTTCGCAGCACTTCACAATTTCTTTGTAGACGTCCCGGGATACCTGCAAGGGCAGGTACATGGTCTTGTAGAGGAGGTCAAACTCTTCTGGGATGGTGTCTCTGCGGAGCCGGTAACCCAGGTGAGCCAGTTGAAGCAAGCAGGCAAGGACGAGCACGATGTTCCAGATGAAGATGTCCAGCCCGCAGGCGCTCAGCCAGCCCCACAGAGCATAGCAGAAGTAGCCTGGGGCCAGGAGGCCAAAGATATAGAGGGACCCAAAGATGCCGCTTCCCCCCATGTAACCCAGGAGGACGATGCAGCTGGCCAGCTGGTAGGCCGCTCCCTCCATAAACTCCTTCCAGGCATCGCACACCGGAGGCTGGAGAACAGCCTGGTCCCAAGAGGGGCTGCTTGTGCTCATCCTTCCTCACTCCCCACCCTCCCCGGCTGTCCTGCACTCAAAATGAATTGTCATACACAAAGGGTGCTGCAGAGGTCTGAAACTAGAGCTGCTGGGTAGCTGTTGTTGTTGTTCCTCCTCCTCTTGAGCACCAGCTGGTCCCACAGCAGCACGCCTCAGAGTGGCATGTTAAAGTGCCGCTGAATGTCTTTTCGCCCAAAAAAACTCCAAAAGGGCTTGTTTCTTGTCTTGTGGCTCACAAACTGGCAGCTGGTCCCTTCCTCAGCCACATCAGTGAGAAATGGAGCTGGCAAATATGGGGCCAAAAGAGCTCAGTCAAAGAAAAAGTAGAGGCCATTAGCTGAAAAGCTCGCAGACGGGACAGAGATCTCGTTGCACTGCCTCTCTCGCCAGCCCTCCAGCACTGGAAATAGCGACCGTGACAGAGCAGCGGAGGGAGCTGGTGTTGAGTGTGGAATGCGTATCACTTGGCAGCAGAAAGGAGAGAGACCCCAAATGGATAACCATGTTTGGAATTGAAATCCAAGGAGCAAAAGCAGCGAGGAGAACAGAGAGCAGGCATGCACCCGCTACTTAACATAACTCAGGCGCCCAGATAAGTCCGGCACAGCACCATGAGGGGAAAGGAGAGAGGAAAACAACCAGCTTATCGCAGCGAACTCCAGCCACATGTGGGGCTCCACACCGCTCTGTGCTCCTGCAAGAGAGTGACTTTCACCCAGCACAAAAAAGAAGGGTCACCCCCTTCTGCTGTGGCTCGTAGCGAAGGCAGGAACTTAGCAAAAGAGAGGTTGGTTTTTGGGAAATGCTTTCCAGGAGCTGCAGCACAGCTTCCCCTTGCACCAGGCAGCTCCATCTCGTGTTGCATTTTAGACCAAGGGGCACAAGGTAAAGTTCTGCACGGGCACACAGTTGTGAGTGCACAGGATACAGCTAAAGTAAATGAGCTAGCTCCATCTATTGCAGGGGGGATTATCCTGCATAGGAGTTCAGGAGTGTTTAACGTGGAAGCGTGTTTTGCAGGAAAACACCTAGTTGAGGGAGGATTTACCAACCCTGCAGTTAACAAGTTCTGTTGGGAAGCATCCTTGGGAAATGTCATCTCACATTTTCATTTTTTATAGCTATTTGGACCCCACCCCCAGGACCTTCCTTTAGCACAAAGAAGAAAGCAAACACTTTCCACTTGGGTAACCTGAGACATAGACACAAGAGGGACCTGCCGAGTTCAGCCCTCTGTGGTCAGCTACAGAAAAGATGTGTAAATACAATTTCTCCCCTGCTTCAAGTAACACGTTACCAGTCGTACAGACAGGATCTGCCTCGCTGCCAGAAAGCAGTTACATTTCAGGCATTGATGCAACCCACATGGTCAGTCAACAGCATGAAGTCAGGCTGCATGGGTCAGTGGAGTAGAGATAGGGTTTCAAGGGTGGTCGTGTTTCAGGCCGAGCTTGCAGCTGCCCTGCCTAAGATGCCATTCCCGTTGGCACCCTTCACTTAAAGACACACTGGCTCTTCTACTGATAGTGCTCCAGAATAACACTATTTACCAGGTGAGGCTCAAGCAATGCTTTACAGCAACCTTAAAGAATTAATCATGGTCTGAGTACAATCTATCTCTACAACCATTAGTCCACGTGCAACGTGGAGCAGTACGACTCCTAAGAGCACTAAAGGCTGTGCCATCTTGACAGGTTGCCATGTGGAAGAAAACAAGACAAATTAAGCTTTGCACAGGGAGTGAGAGTACAATCCACTAAGAAAGATGCCTTCTGTTAATGGTGAAGTGAAACAAGGAACCTTGTCTCCAGTGGTCCCTTATTTAAGTGAAGAAATAAATCCTACTGACTAATGCAGAACAAGGCTCAGCTGTAAGAGGTATGGGGAAATGAAGAACTTAATTTCTTTTGACCTTCCCTGCAAAGAGGGAAGGATGATCTTATGGCCAAAGCACCACAGTAAAAATCTTAGGAGCAAAGTTCTGGTTTTCATATCCTTGCCATGTACTTGCCAGATGACCTCAAAAACAACTTGTCTTCCTTTAGGCCTCTGCAAAATATCAATATTAAAAAGGACCCAGTTTTCAAGATAGGCTGACATTTGAGAAAATTGGGAGTTGGGATATCAGGACTGGGAACACCTAGGAGAAGGATACTTTACATAAGATCTGTGAGACAAAAACAAACAGTTATGATGCTGAACTGCATTAGAGGAAGCATTCTGAGAAGCAACACTGCAATATTTCCTGCCTTTCCATACTAAAAAAAAACAACTTTTGCAGCAACATGAAAGAAAAATGACAAGAAGAAGTAGTTATGAATTTCCCTTCTCTGGTGGGTAAATTCCTGAGCTTAACACAATGTTAATGACTCGTTTGGAGACTGAAGATGCTTCCTCTGGCATCTTCCAGAACACGGACAGTGTCCTTGCAGTAACCCCAGAAGGGTGCGCTGGGGTCACAGTGCTGTTGGGGCTAGTGCCGCAGGTGAGGGTAGGCAGTGGTGACTCCCCTGCGGGGGGCAGGCAGGAAGCTCTAAACCCACAGCAGTAACAGCACAAAGCGCTCTTTCGAAACTGTACAACTTTTCTGCTGGGACTGAACGTGACGCTGTAGAGAGAATGACATATCCTTTTAAAAGGTAGATCTCTCAGCACATGCTAGAGATTAATTTAGGTGTTTTCAGGTCCAGTTTTTTTAAAAGGAAGATTTGTAAAGTGGCTGAACCACCAAGGCTCAAATCTTTTCTCCCTTGAGAGTATCATGGCTATACAGGCCGTCTTCACAGCACTTCCAGCTTTCCACTCAGCAAGAACTCACTGAATTTTTTAAAGAGAAATTTTATTTTCGTGCCTTACCTTGAATTAGAATACAGGCTTCCATCCAGGGATGGTGGGGTTCATCAGAGATGAGTGTTCAAAAGCCAATACTGATTCAAGGGAAAAGCCACACCAGTATTAAAATAGAGATACCAAGGCCCAAACCAATTTGGAATCAAGCAAGCAAATACACAGAAAACACTTGAGCAGCATTAAGACTCTTCCCTGGAAGGCAGCACATAGGCATTACAACAAAATGAGTCTGTGAAGAAGAAAAACAGACATGGGAACCTTTTCAGCACTGAAATTGGCAGTGTGTAAACAGGTACTCTGCTGATTTCCCCACTTGTAATTAATTCAACCAGTAGCACTTCACACTCAGCCCCATGTGATGATGCAATCCAGGTGCAGCCTGTACTATCTTTGACAAATAAATCCTCTGTCCTTAAGAGCAGCACCGTACTGAGAGATTACCAGTCACATATCTCGCAGTAGCTACATGACTGGCTATTCTGCTCATCCTCAGGAAGCCTGCAGGTTCACTACTGATCCCATAAGCTGAAAGCAAACCAAATCAGCTGTGCTGGGGACACGAAGACCTTGATGCCCTAAAGTCAGAGAGGGCATAATCAGACCACTCTTTTTGGCTTATTATAGAATCATAGCATACCAGGTTGGAAGGGACCACAAGGATCATCTAGTCCAATCTCTCGAGGTAAAAGTAGAGTTTAAATGAGATGAGTCAGCACCCTGTCAAGCTGACTCTTAAAACTGACCAAAGTAGGGGAATGTACCACTTGCCCTCTGAGATTGTTCCAATGTCTGATTGATCTCATGGTAAAAAAAATTCCTCAGTTCAATCAGAATCTCTACAGAAGCAACTTGTCCATTACCCCTCATCTTTTCCATGTGACTCCTTGTGAAAAGGGAGTCTCCATCTTCTTGGCAGCCACCCTTTATGTACTGGTACATGGTAATAAGGTCCCCTCTAAGCCTTCTCTTCCCAAGGCTGAATAGGTCCAGTTTTCTCAGCCTTTCTTCATGTGGCAGGTCTTCCAGTCCTCTGATCATTATATAGTCCATCACTGACATTAGCCTGCAAAACTGTTACCTACACACCAATAAACCCTGTAGTTCCAGAATATCCACTTGGTGTTTCAAGCTACATTAAAATTACAACTGTTGGGAAAGGTCTAAAGCCTGCTCCACACAAGTTCATGGTGAATTGCAAAGGGATGAAGATGTCATGTACTGGATTTAGTTGAACTGCTGCTATATAGCTCCATAATATTTCCTGCTACTGCCACGTTCATGCTATCATAGCTACAGCAAACACTGCATGCAGGGCAGCATCTGTCACCAGCTCCATCAGTAAGTAGTAACACAATGCCAATAAGCCCTAGCCCCTGAATCAAGCCTTGAATCCACTCCATGGGAATCCTGTAGTAAGAAATGAAGCCTCTGGCCAGGAAATGTGATTGGACCACAAGGTTTCTCCCATTGTCGCTTTAAGTATAGGGTTGTCTGGTATCTTTTCCGTACCTGTTGCACACAGGTATCGCAGCACCCCACTCATCATCTTCACAGAACCACAGAACGTTAGGGATTGGA